TAAATTACCTGTTTTTTGTATTATAAGGTTAACAAAATACAATAATGTGTGTTATACATATGCGTTAATTTATTCCTATAGTTTAGGTATAGAGTGAGTTTAGATAAGTGAAAATTAATTTACAATAGAACTTTTCAATTATATATATAATTGAGCAACACTTGATTTAAAGAAGTTGGATGATATACATTTGGATAATAGCAAAATAAAGCATCCAATTCCATTATTTAGCATATATTGGAAAAAAAAATGATTAGTACCACATTATATAATTTTTTACATATTCTTTTAGGTATATTAAATTTTAAAAAATGTATATTAATATGTACATAGAGATATATATATATATATAATAAATATTTGAACGTTCATACATGTATGCATAACTTATTTTTTATTTATTTAAATAGCAACATGTCATATTAATTACGATAGAATACAATAACCTTACTTGTATATTTTTACTTCAGTGTCATGTATAGATGTAAATGGAAGAACAACCAGAAAGAGTAGGAATAAATTAAAGTTACCAATATTAGATTGAATTATATTTATAAGTAATCAATTCCAATATGAGAGTGTAGAAAAGAAATATTAAAATAATGAAATAACAAATGAGATAAGAAATAATATAACAGGAACTAATGAAATACAAAATCTTCTATCGGAAAAGTTACAAAAACTATTAGAGTATATTAAGGAAAATGAAAACTTGTGTACATCAAATAATATAAAAGATTTCATGTCTGGCATTGTAAAAAGAGTAGATGATACCAAAAGAAAATGCGAAAAGCGATTTCCAAAAAATGAAAAATTTTATAAAATAGAAAGCTATTACAAGGAGATTAATGCTATTTTTAATGAGATCGATAAAAATTCCGAAATAAGCATATTTATTGAAGACAAAAATAAAAATATTAAATACAGATTTTCAAGAATCCCGAATTCTGAAGACGTGCAGAAAATAAAAGAAGTAACATTTGATATAACGAATAATTACATGAAAGGAAAAGCTATGTTATCACAAGTTAGTAACGCTTTGGATATAATTAAAACAAAAAAAAGAAGATGGATACATTATTTGTATCATTATCCAAGGAATATGTAAATAATTATAACACTGCAAAACATTTTTTGGATGATTCTGATAATATAATTCAGGTCTTAAAGGATAAATTATAAAAAATATCAAGTTTAATAAACTATTCTGGAAATGAATTAATAAATTAGAAAAAAAAGTGTATAATATATTAAATGCACTTGTTATTGATAACACATATGATGATCAAAAGAAATTTCTAGGTGATACAGAAGAACAAAGAGTGAAATTATATGCAGAGCAAATTCCAAAATTATCTGAAGAACAAAAGCACTCGGAAGCGAGGCACTTGAACGATGGTAACAATATTACTGAGAATAAAAATGGATATCATTCTAAACCTGTTAGGGAAGGGACAAAGATTTTATATGAAGAAGTTATGGGGATAACTGTTTGTTTTAGTATTGCATTGATTGCATTTAATCCATATGATGAGGAATATATGGGTGATGATTCACTATATGAAGTATTTGAAGGTGGTGTTGTTAGTAAAAAGCAGGATAAAGAACAGCTAATTGACGATTGTTTTGAAAAAAAATATAAATCTGAGACGTAAAACATAATTATCCATATACAAATAAAAATATAGCTTAAAAATTACATTAAAAATAAAGACTATCAAAATTTATATTACATATAGAATAATAAATTAAAATAGATAAAAATAAAATACATCATCAAAACAAGCACTACGCACTAAATACTAATTTTATATTAAAAATATAATAATTATAAAAAATAAGTGTATATTATATAAATTATAATTACATAATTATTTAACCATAATATCATAACTACTATATATATACATATGTGTAAAATATATGATGAATAAACATTTAATAAAGACACAAACAGGAAAGAAAGTAAATAAACGAGATTTCATATAACATAAATCATTTTCAAAATATAAATAAATATTAAAACTAAACCCGAAAACAATAAACTAAAACATGAACGATAAGACTTAAACACTTAACCCTGAATAAATAAATGAAAATCTTTAGTACTGAGTTATTAATGATTACTCATTAATGTTTGTATTTCTAGTTTCAGTGATAGGGATCTGAGTATTATTATTTAATAATAATTGTGAATTCAACTTTAAATTTAACACAGATATTATTTCTACTTTTTATTATTCTTGATTCTAGGCTAATATACAAGTTATACATATGTCCCTATGTTTTAAAGGAAAAAATAAAACATTATTATATTTCTAACATTTTATTTAATTTTTATTGATAAAAAATATTTTATTATTTATTTTATTTTTTTTAAGTAGTTAATTTTTTATTATTTAACATTATACTGATATATCTTTTAAGCGTAATAAAAGATACTGTGCTTATTAAGGAGCAAAATATTTTTTAATAGTTTAATTTTTTTTTGTTGCATTATAATTTGGGACGTCTTTAGAAAATATATAATTTATTAAGTTTGAATATTTTATTAAATGAGACATTTTGATTCTGACTTTTCTTTTTATACGTCTAATTCATTGATTGAATATTTTTATTTCATTTTATTTTTAAGGATTTTTTTTAATTCTGCAAAATTCATTTTATAAAATATTTTATTCAATATTTTACTGTATTTTCATCTTATTTGTGTTTGTCAGATAACATTAATTATTCTTTTTATTTTCACGTTCATTGTAATAGTGAACATAAATATTAAATATAAAATATATGTATATATTTCTATTTCATTTTGCTCTATATAATGGAGTATCCAAGTAGGGAAAAATAAAATATTATGTAATTCATATATCGTTCGATGGATTTATATATAATTGACGTGTCTTTTAATGATGGTAGACCCTTATAACATAAATAAATAATATGCTCATATATGGAGACATGCATATATATTTCATATAATGGATTTGATGTATATCAACTATTTTTTTCATTAAAAAGTTACTATCTTTATCCTAATCATATAACGTTTCCATGATTTAATCTGTTAGAATAATTTGTTATATATATGAATTTCATAACTTTTTTGTAAAATCTCTGTATAAAAAAATTAATATATGTATAAATATAATACTTATACTATTATGCTTTTACATAATGGATTGTAATAAATACAAATAAAGTGATTACATATAATTCTTATGCATATAATGAAGACCAATGCTTCTATAGATGAGGTCTTATATTTTTATGTTTTACCAAATTAAACAATATGTTGCTTAGTATTAAAAGACCATGACTCTAGTGGATGTACTAATGCTTTTTTTCAGAAATATATATTTTTTTATTTATTTATACTTATTTCATTCTTTTTTAGACTGAATTTAATGAGATATTTCCCAACTTTGATAATGAATACGATTATGCTTTAATTAATTATAGTAATAAGAATGGGTATGGGATGCTGGGTTTTCATCTTAGCACATTTTGTTATGGATTTATTAATAGAGAACATAATGATATAGAAAAAAAATTGAAGCCTTTTTACAATTCTTGCATGGAACTTGGTCGTTACTTATATCATATAGAAAATGAGAAATTATCGGAAGTGGAAAAAATACTTAATTGTATATACTTCTCTTACAAACTAAAAATGGAGCTAGGAAAATATTCAAGTAATGATAAAAATTTGGTGGCCTTGTTCAAAAGAACTGTGAAGCCTAGTATTATTAACGATGAGCATAGAGATGTCGAAACGTTTATTCAAGTATGTCATGAATTTGATGAATATTCTGGTGATGACGGATCAGAAATTTTGGAAAATTTTAAAAAAGTATATAATATTATAGAAGAATTAAAGGATAATACTAATTATTGCACTTCATGTAAACAGAATTATGAAGAATATATGAGCTCCTTAGAATCAAGTAAATGTAAAGATATCAGTAGTTTTAAATTTATACTTGAAAAAATTAAAAATTTTTATGAATGTAAATGCCCATTAGAAAAAAATGTACACTTGGATCATTATCCGACTGTTGAACAAATAAGTGAAAATACAGAAAATAACTCGATGAATGATACAAACAATATAGCAGAAACAAACCCAAAAATATCACCTAATGAAGGAACAAATACACTGCTAATAAATGAACCATTTACTAACGAATTGACAGAAACAATTACAAGTGTAAATATAGGAACTTTTTCTGTAATATCTGTAATATTAATATTAATATTTATATTATATAAAGTTAAAAATAAATTTTGGTAAATGTTTATTATGCTGTATTTTGTATAACGTAGGATTATATTAGAACTTAGATCGTGTAAATTATAAATTCATAAAAATATCATATCCTTTCCTTATGATCAGTACACTCCATATGGATCATATTTACTAAGACGTATATTGATGTCAGGGAGAAGGTTGAACAGAAGATATAAAGATCATTTAAATTTAATGGAATCATTTGATAAGACATATAACAATTCAATTGATGACAGGTATAGTATAGCATATAAGTCAGAATACTACTCCTAATAAATATATAATAATGGATATTGAAAAAAACTCGGTTATATTTTAGGAATAAAAAACAATAAAAAACTTTATACCTTTGAAAAAAAGAATATATAGAAGCTATTATATGTTAACGGTTCAGAGTTGTCCCTATGAGCTTATAATTGTCTATTTTTTTTATTACACTGAAAATTAATGTTATATGTTTCTCTACAATTATTCCCACTATGATGTCTTTTATCATCATTATATGTATTAACACGAAAGGAATATGAAACATCTTGATATATAGTTTTTTCCTAACGAGGGCCTACTCTATCGACATGTGTAATGGATGATGATACACCAGTAGAAGAAAGGGTGTCAGTTTATAATAAAAAAGGGTTTATGTTAAGGTGATGAAGTAACTAAAATAGGTTTATCAAATATGTCACAGCTATAATGTCCTTATAACTAGAACGTGGATTATTGGGGAAAATTTTTTATCACTTTCACTATTAGCAATTACACGATAAATACATTCAATAATAGGGTTTACACTCTCAGTAATTACATTAGAATGAATTCTCGTTCAGGTACAGCACCTGTAATTTTTTAAGAAACTAATGTTTTACCAGCAGGAAGAGAAGAATCTAAATTTTTTGTAAAACCTCATTCATCATTAATATCTTTGACAATAACCGATTTCTCAATATCCGATTGAGAATAAGATAAAATTTTCAGGAACGAATTTTCATGTATATTTTTCTTTGGGAATTTATATTAAGGTTCATATTCTTAATTAGGTATTATAGGTGAACACTTTTCAAATGAATTTGTTTCTAATGCTCTAGTTATTGTATGTCCATTGTTAGAAATAGGTTCTGAGGAAGCTTTTAGATGTACAGTTTCAGTAGACTCATAAGTATCTACTGAATTATGTTCTTTATCTTGAGTATAAGAAGAACTAGATGCAACTTTCTCATCCTGTTGAACTTGTAAATTTTTTTCATGTTCTTCTGATTTTTCCCCATTTATTTTTTTGTCTATATTAGCTCGGATGTCTTGTATTTCCAGTGATAATTTAATATCATTATCATGAAGAGATACTGCACTTAAGAGACATTTTGATTTATCATAACATTTTTTTGTAAAATTATTTATTGTTTGTTTTTGATCATCATTAAGTGCTATAACTTGTTTTTGTTATAATATTAATATAATTCTTCCCTTATATTTTTTATAGATTTGTTTAATTTATCAGATTCATTCCAATGATCTGCATTTACATTTGCACCAAAGTTTAAAACTTCTTCCTCAAATTCATTTAATTAGTTAATATATTCTCCTATGCATTTTTCATGGTTATTGCGATTGTCAGGATAAGATATAATAAATGATACTTGAGCCATTTTCTGTCCATTAGTTGTTGGTATATCTGAGTTTCCTTCTTTTAGTTATAATTCATAATTTTGTAAAATAAATTATATATGTGTATACACACATTTTCAAAAGGAAATTCAATATGTTAATGTTACGATATTGTATTAGAATTATTTGGATCAAAAGAAACCATAATATTCAAAAATATTATAAATAAAAATGTCTTAGAATATCATTAGGACATTTTGAAAATGCATATATATATCTTTTGAATTAACAATATTTGTACATTTAATTATATTTTAGGGATAATTGTAAAACAAATGAATTTGTAAATACATATCTAATGATTCTGCATGATCTTTATGATTTAAATGAATACATAATAAGTAGTAATATAAATAAAAATGAGATCTGTAAATTAAATAATGTAAAATATGAAGAAGGATACAAATATTACATACACTACTTATAAATAAATAAAATATAGCATGCTCTACAGCATATAAAAAAATGTATATATATTATTTTTCTTTTAATAGTAAGAAAAGTGTATATTAAACATAATCTTCATTTCCCCCTGTAGTCCTTTTATTTATTGGTTTTGTTACATAATATATCTTAGAAATAGTGCATTAGAAAATAAGTGTGCAGTTCTATCTTTATCTCAGAAAATTTTTTTTAGTGATTATATAACTATTTCTTTATTATTAGGATAATATATTTTGAATTTTATATTGCTGTGTATAATAATAATAAATTAGTTATACGCCGATTCAATTTATTTTGGTAAGAGGAATTTATAATTAAAACGTCTATCTAAGACATAAACTAATTTCAATAAATGTGCGTTGAACATTAACTATTTATGTTTTTGATTTAAGTATATATCCCTATGAAAAATTTGAAACATCTACATCCTTGTGTACATAACAAATTGTTACTCGTTGTATATTCGTTCTTCTCAGAATCAATAGTTTTATTTGATGAATAATTAAATTATTACAATGTAAATAGAGTTGAAGAAAATTATAACACAATAAATATCTGATCAAAAAAACACGTGGAGTTTTTTTATTTAATACTAAAAATGCAACAAATAAGCACGACAAACACATGATATATGGAATAATAATGAACAAAGGAAATTCAAAACTCATTACACGTTATTTTAGCATTTCCATTGAAATATTTGCGTTCAATTAAGTAGACAAAAATCATTACTAATATTCAACATCCTTTGTAAAAAAATGTTGCTCTTTTGTTCGAGAAATAATGGATTATTAGCCTTTTCATTGCTATAACATTTACTGCTACAGATGATATGTCAACATAGCCTTATAAAGAAAAAACATACAAAATATGGGTATGTTTGCTATAAAAAAATTAAAAAATATAAATGTGAATATTCGTTATAAAGTGTTTCAATAACATATTGTACTTACCGAGTGAGTGAATTTTTTTATGATTATATGCACACAATAAATATGTTTTTTATTATATATGAAAAGAGCACAATACTAATGAAATAACAGTTCAACTTATTTTTACACGCTTATGTTGTGAAAACAAAGTTTTATTTGACGTAAGTATTCATTATACATATAATTTGTTTCTGAAATATTTGTGAAATGTAAGCTGGGTTACATAATAATGAAGATAAGACAATTGAAAAAATTGATTACTGTTATATTTTATTGTTTAATAAACATAATAATTGTGATGTTCCATTTCAGCGAAACATTAATAATATGTGTAAACAATTTTTTTTTTTTTTTTTTTTTTTTTTTTTTGTGTCATTTATATAGGTTTTACATAAATTAATATAAGCTGTTATATATTTGTGTTTTTTTTATCAAATTACACAATAAAAATAAAATATACATTATCATGAGGTGTGATGTATATATATATTTTATATATATACTATAATAATTAATTTTTCAATTACAAATTTCGTAAAGTATTAATTAATAGAGTTGTTATTATGAATAGAATTCTTTATTGTATTATAAAACAAGGATAACACATTAATTTAATAATAATTTTATGTAATCATGTAATATATATTAAAATGAAAATGTTTCAAATTTTTCGATAAATGGGAAAGAACACAGAAAATATTCATTTTAATATAATACATTTATATATATTATTGTTAGCATTAGATTAATAAATATTAATTACTCCATGAATAAGTATCAAAAAAGCAGCTACACATAAAATATATAGATAATATATATATGAAGCATCAAAAGTACATATTTATGAGGAATAAAAAAATAATGTATATCTATTTGTTTTGAAAAAATAATTATTTCTTTAAAAAAATTTTAATGTAGAATAAAATTAAATCAAATTATTCTCATTCACACGATAGATGCATTCCAATGTAATTCATTACCATTATGGACTTTTTTTTCATATTACATTTGATATACCTTAAATTTTAATAAAACGATCCATAAAAACCTAATATACATATATAGAATATTATAGATTTTATGTCCTCAAAAATAATTCAAACACATAAATATGTATTATATTACATTAATGCAATTTTAAAGAAGACTCTTGTTTATTGTTTACAATATATATTATCATATTTATATATATAATATCTAACAAAATTGTTTATATTCAGTCAAATTTTCACATGCAATGCTTATGATTACTTTTATACATTATTCTTGTGTGATATATCCAAATACTATGAAACATGTTTAAACTATAAATATTGGTTTAATTATTATAGCTATCATACGGAATATGCATATTATTTGTTATTCACATTACAATACAAAAAAGAAAAAGC